TTAGGGAGAGGAGTCCTTCACTATGTAAATATAGCAAAAATACAAAGGCGCATATAACACATGTCATTAGATAAAATCAAGTAATGAGTAGCATTTTACAGAGAGAGCTTGTCACACAGAGACTGGTTTTCCACATGAATTAACCTCTGTAGTGTTTATCACAAACCCACGAGGTAAGTACTACCAGTCCCACATTCACAGCTGAGGTAACTAAGGCGCCTACAGGTTAAGTCACTTACTCAAACACAACACATTTGAATTTAGACGGTCTGGTTCTAGGAGAACACTGCCAAAGCACCTGAAACCAGCCACAGGAATCCAGAACGAAGAAACTTACAGAAAAGGAAGCAATATATGAAGTACAGAGAATAAAAGGGGGGTTCGAGGTGGAAAGATTTGAACCAATAAGGCAGAGATGGAAGGTCTGCACTTAGAACACCGAGAGTAGAGTTCTACTCGATCTGAGGAAAACCACAGTCCCTCAAGTCTGAATCTCCCTACCTACTCTCCAAAATATTCTTCAGGTCAAAAGGAGGAGCAGATAAAATGAGAACAACGTTGCTGGGCTGAAACACGGTTCAGTGGGTGAAGTGTGTACTGAGCCAGCATCACCCTGAGTTCACGCCCCCAGAACCTGTGTAAAAGCCAGGAATAGTAGTTTTATCAGTAATGCCAGGACAGGGAGGTGGGTTTTGAGGGTGGGCTGTTCACTGAAACTAGCTCTCACCACTTAAGACCGCCCCTGGTATCCAGTGAGCTGTCTCAAAACACAAGGTGGAGAGCGGTAATCAAGACATCCACACGGGCACACACAGCTGAACACACTTCCCGCCACACACAGATGCATACGCCACAAACACAGAGCTGTCATCCTAACCAGAAAGCAGAGAGGACAGAGCAATCTCAAAAGCCCCATTAAACAAACAAACAAACAAACAAAGTATCAAATTCCAGCCACATTCTCGCAACTTCCTCTGAGTGTTTGTGCAGAGAACTGTTGCGGGGGGGGGGGGGCAGGGGGCTAGAGACCTTGACCGAGAGAGAAATGCCATTTTCAGTGTGAAAACATGGGGACAGACCAGTGTGACCACAGCACTGGCTACAGAGAAAGGATGGGTAGGACATGTCAAGGTGCTGGGGACCAGCTGAGGAAGTCACTGCTCCTCGGCAAAGAAAGGGCGACGAAGGAAGAAGCGTGTTCACGTCTCCTTGGAGTCTAAGTGTGGATAGGAAGAAATGTGAACATTAGTGCAAGATCCATAGCACTAATAGCAGAAAAGCCCCAAACTAGAACAGAAGATTCGTGCTCAACCAAAGAACAAAACACAGAAGAAATGCTTTACAGCAACTGCAGTTCATCCCTTGACTGAAGAGGGCGCTCTTAACCTGGGAATCTCCTTAGCTACCACGCAGTCCTGACTCCGTGTCCGCTCAAAAACAAGGTTCTATGAACAAAACTTTGTCGCTTGGGCAAACCAACACATGTAGATTTTTTTGAAAATCTACACACAAGGAAAAAGTAACACAATAAATAATCGTTTGAGGATATGCAGAAAATATCTCTAGTCAGAAAATTAAAACTAAGAACAGAAATGGATATGAAGCAGGAAAGAACTGAAAAAGAGGTATCTGAATTCAGAAAATAAATGAAAGAAAAGAACAAGCCGGCACTGGAAGTAATGGCTGCATTTCTTGATGTCTATGAAAGAATGGATTTGAATAAAATTTAATAAAAATGGTAGAGAAAATTGGTAGAGTAAAATGACATTTTTCTTTTCAACACAGGGTCTGACTATGTAGCCCTGGCTGGTCTGGAACTCACTACCAGGCTAGCCTCAAACTCACAGACATCTGCCTGCCTCTGCCTCCAGGAGCAGGAGATCTAAAACAAAACAACCACAAAACCAACAGGCAAAAGGTTCAACAGATGCATAACCAGAATTTCCGGGGGGGGGGGGGGCATTGCATTGAGACTTAATATTTAAAAGTATAGTTCAAAATAATATTACAAAAATCAAAAGCATACTTGAATATAAGTATTGAAAGGATAGTCTAGGTACCTAAGAAGGCTGAGTCAGAATAATCTCAAAACTTCCCCAAACACAATGATTACATTTTGATGATAAAGGAAAAATTCTCTGCTCCCCCCCTCCCCATACACACACACTCAAGGAACTAAACAGAAAGGATGGAGGGTTGAAGGGGGATGAGAAGGTTGGAAATATTTCTATAGTTTCATTCCCTGGAAAGAAAGTCAGCTCCCGCCTCCTTAGCATTCCTGATTCTTTATCAAGTGTGCTATAAACAGGCACAACCCTGCTGAGGGGAAACAATCATGTCCTCAAACATCCGTGTGACATGGCCTTCAGGTCCCTGATTAGATGCAGTCTAAAGAAAGATATCATTGCTATCCAGATATTGCCAGAAAGAATGATTTTAAAAAATCTACCATTCTGAATTAAAGCTACGGTTTTTAACATTTATTTATTTATTTTATTGATGAGTACACTGTAGCTGTCTTCAGACACACCAGAAGAGGGCATCCAATCTCATTACGGATGGTTGTGAACCACCATGTGGTTGCTGGGATTTGAACTCAGGACCTCTGGAAGAGCAGTCAGTGCTCTTAACCGCTGAGCCATCTCTCCAGCCCAAAGCTACGGTTTTTATAACTGCTGTATAAACAGGTATGTCATTTCTATTACCTAGATCTATCCAGATATTTTTCAAGTAGCTTAACTTAAAGAAACTATGGCCGGGCGATGGTGGCGCACGCCTTTAATTCCAGCACTTGGGAGGCAGAGGCAGGCGGATTTCTGAGTTCGAGAGTTCGAGGCTAGCCTGGTCTACAGAGTGAGTTCCAGGACAGCCACAAAGAAACAAAAACAGACCCCCTAAAAAAAAACAAAAAAACAAAACACAAAATTAAAACAAAGAAACTATGGAAGTGAGAAGTTCAAAGTTGAGAGTTTTGGGTTATATTATGAAAACGTTTCTTTGGATAAATTTAGTGTCTGGTTACCAAGAAAAATTTCAGGCTATCAGTATCACTTTACAGAGGTGAACTGGGGCCCATCACACTGATGGGCACATTCACACCATTCTCCTGGCTCAGCTCTCTGGAGTCTAAGCTTCCAAACTAGAGAGCTAAGCAGCAGTCAGCAATCAGGAGCCTGTGTTACTCACAGACCAGTCACCCGCAGATCTGGTCTCAGGTTCAGTGACTTCAAGCATGCACCAGATCTGAAGTTGGAAGAAGCAGTATTACTGCAGTCATACCTAAGAGTGACTTAAATCACTCACGTAAGCCATCTACAGAGAGCAGCCATTTCTAATGTGTCTTTTCAGACCAAACCTACATGCAGAGGCAATATATAAAAACAGCCTTACAAACTCCCTGTGAAGAGCTCCCCACCCATTGTCCTATGACGGGACATCCTGGAATCAGAAATCCCCATCTCATGTCAAGGGCAGAACACACTTGTGAAAATGCTAACGTGTTAAAAACCTTACAGACAACGGCGTGCCTCCCTTTCTGACTGGTCTGCTAAACAGATCACAGAATTCCAATGTTCGAATAAATGAACTATAAGGATATCACTAAGCACTGGGAACGGCCTTCCTAAAGCAGACTCCCAGGATGATACAGACACTTGTGTTCCAGCCCCTGACGTTCAACATCCCAGAGGTCAGTTCCCTTGCTGAAGTGTGCTAAGGGTGGTCACTTCCTTGCAGTACTCCATAAAAGCAAAGACAATTCCCCACTCATTCAGCCTCAAGGAGCAGTAAATACCAGACCTGACTGACAGGAAGCTCCATTCCTTGGGTCACATTTCCTGTTGTACAGAGTTCCTGTTTCTGAGCAAGCACGGTGCAGAATGCTGATCTCTGCAGCCTGCGGGACTTCATGTAGCCCCGGCCTCCAAGAAGTAGGTAATAGGTTATCTGCCCATTGCTCAGCATAAGACTGGCTAGAGAAGTCCATTATATTTAAATCTTCTCTAAAATGACCACACTCCAATCTGTGTCGAGGGTCATCCTGGGAACTGCCCACAACAGTTAAGATGATATTTCGCCTATTAACCCTGTGTAATCCCACGTGGAAAGGAAAATTAATAAAATCGATCGGGTCAAGTATTAGCACACTAGCTAGCTTCTTGGATATGAACTGTAGAATTATTTTGGCTATCTCTCTTTTCCTTCCTCTCTAGCTCTCTCCCTCCCTTCTCACATCTCTACCTGAACGGACCTTGTAATTGGCCAGGAATATCTAAGTTGTATGTAATTAAAACAGTACTATCAGAGTGGACTGGCAGAATCAGCAGGGCAGACCCTGGGTGTGCCCCTCTGCATATTTACTACGGAGCTTGTGAACCTGTGCCTAATACCCCTCCTGGTAATCCCACGCTTGCCAACACATTAGACCGACATAAATGCACCAATGTCTTGAGCATTACAGTCTCCCAGGTGCAAACTGCTCGCCCCCTGGCTCACTAGGAGCAAAAGTGAACAGGAAGCAGAGGTCTTGGCCAGCCAGGGGCAGGCCCTTCATTCTGCAGCTCCTCCAGAGAGGAGGCCCTGAAACTGTACTGCTAAACCCAGAGAACTAAAGAAACAGTAGAAGGGGCCTGGCAATGTGGCTCAGTGGGGGAACCTTTGCTGCACAGTGAGCCAACATGTCAGAAAGATGCTAAGGAAGGAGATAAAGAGCCATTTTGAATCTGAAATGAGAGACAGAAGCCTTACCGAATTCCCCGCTCTAAGGCTGCCTGGAATCCTCACATAGTCTCCTTGCCTGGACCCTCTCAAAGTCAAAATGGTGTACAAAAGGACTGACCGCTAAGATTCAGCATCTGGAATACCAGACAAAGCTGGTGGTGTGTTAGGACTAGAACACAAGGCTCTTGGCCCTGTCCTTCAATGCTTCCCACATTGTGTCGCTCAACCGTCAAACCTAATTTGTTGTCCGAGGTACAAAGCAGAAAGGCGTCCGTGCCTACCTGTCACCGAGGTGGTTATGGTTATTTGTGTGGAGCGCAGTTGAGTGGGTCTCAGAAGGGTGACGTTTATCGTGTAATCAGTGGCGGGGTGCAGATCTAAACACACTTCAGGAGCTCGGTCTTTTGTTGTGATGTTAAAGACAGTAGCGTGATAGACGCTGTCTAGATACCACCTCTGACCCAGAACCTCCACCTGTCGGATGGAAAGAGAGTGCTGTGTTAGCTTCCTGCTGGCTTGCAGATGTCTAGGCTGTCAAGAAAGCTCCTTCTGTTAACCTCTGTAAGATTCCCTTTAAGATGCCAGTGAGCTAAACCAAGGGCAGCCTTTGCAAAGCCAAAGCTCCTGCACCTGTCCTACCCAGTTTTCCTCTCAGCCAGTGTCGGACTAAGATTGAACTGCATAACCAATGACTGATAGAGAATAACAAATCGGCAGGCAGATAGTTCTAGAGCAATCAAATGCACCAAAGCTACTGGGCAAAATTCTTTCGGTTTTATTCATTGTGAGGACTTCATAGAGAAGCCCCACAGTATGGATACTTAGCCTTATGAGAACTATCCCAGGCTATGCTTTGAAAGCAACAGTTCGATGTGGTTTCCTTGCGCCCCTGCCTTCCTTCCCATCAGAGCTGGTCAAAGCTGAGGAGTGTGGAGACATCCCACGTACTGCGGTCTGGATCACCGCTCAAGCAACAGTGAGTCACAGGGGAAGCGCTCATGTGAAGAGCCCAGGAAAATAGGACCAAATGTTATCAACCAGTAGAGTTCATCTGGTGAAACTGTGAGTTCAATGAAGCTCGAACCATTGGCTCTCCACCCTTCACCATGACATTCAATCATTGAGCCATCCTCACAGATCATCCAAGACTGGATAACGGGCTCATTAGGTTCATCTCTCAGGCACTCATAGAGAAAGACCATCAAAACTGGAGTTCCTTGCTCTCAATGCTATGGATGTCCCCCACTCCGTTCCAGCCATCCAATGCCATAGCCACGCTCCAGGGTCTAGAAAGCATTACCAGAGGAGCTGAGTAGCAGATCCCATGGTGCCCTATTCTTCTGGACCACTCGCTGATAAAGAACAATGTCTTCGTATGGGACGTGAACTACGTGTCTATTCTCACCTGCAGACAGCTTTTGAATGCTCACTTTTCTCCAGTGGACTTAACTATACTCCATATATTACACAAATGGATCTCTGACATATTAAAAGTTCAGTTTATTTTTTCCTTTTTACCCTTCAATCATCTTAGGGTATGCATGTGTGCACCTGCACATAGATGCCAGAGGCTGGATGTCTTCTCACTGAGCCCTGAGCTCCAAGGACCTGGGTTCTAGTCCCAGCATGGATATGGTAACTCACAACCACCCAGAACTCCACACTCTACTCCTGGCCTCTGTGGACATAAGGCACATGCATGGTGCACACACATATATGCAGATAAAACATGCACATTAAAGTAAAGCATAAAATAAAAATACACTTAGGAGCAAACACTCGCACGCACACACACCATTATTTTTGCATTTTTTATCAAAGACTCATAGTATCCCATTACAGTTGCTGCTTATTTATACATTCCTACTTGTTTGAAACTCTCAGGTCATAATATATGAATTTTTTTGCTAAGCATTTATGGAACGAATAACTAATTTTCACTATATCACACTCGGCCTGAGTTTCTAGGCACTAAAAATGACATCAAAGTAAATCCTGGTTCTTTCCTAAATTTGCTTTTGATTTGAGTTTGGGTAGGGAAGGAAACTAAAGTAAAATGATCTTAGAAATGTACACCCAGTATGTGCATCTGAAGACACACTAAGATAAACGCACTGACATGTAAGTGTGCAACTGTAGGCAGGAGATCAACAGAAATCATCAAGTACACAGAACCTTGGTCAACTTAGTTCCTCCTCGCAATGGTCTAACCTGTACCCACCCCTAGAAAGAGCGGCCACGAACAGTGCAGGCAGTCGCTCGCTCTATTAGGAGTCTTTACGTAGTCTGCATCTTCCCCTGCAGATAGCCTGCATGTATTGTAAGCGGAGTTGGGAGTTTACTAAAGACACTTTAACATAGACTTGCTGCTAGGACAGACCCCAGAGCACAGGTGTGCAGTCTGCAAAGAAGTCACAGTTCATGAAAAAGACGTGTTTGATAAGATTTCATTCAGAGGTTAAGAGCAAGAGAGAAGCTCAAGGAGCGAATAAGGCATGCCCAGAGAGGGGATGAATCACTCATTTTTTAAAAAAATGACTAATTCTATAAGAGATAATAAGGGACCATCTCACTTGGAGGATAAGGGACCATCTTACTTGGAGGATAAGGGATCATCTCACTTGGAGGATGAGGGATCATCTCACTTGGAGGATGAGGGATCATCTCACTTGGAGGATGAGGGATCATCTCACTTGGAGGATGAGGGACCATCTCACTTGGAGGATGAGGGATCATCTCACTTGGAGGATGAGGGATCATCTCACTTGGAGGATG